GTTTAGATGCGCTCTGGGATGTCCCAAGACAAACTGTCAGCACTTCTTATGCTGTGAGCTTTTCTAAGGTTTATCCCAGTGCAGCAGACGTGGACGTCTTGACTATTGCACTTTATCCTGGGATAAAATGTTTTTTCCCGGGACAAATGAGACATCTGTTGGTAGCCTAATTCCAGCAAGTTAAAGCCTTTACGTGCATTCTTCAGTCTCTGGGTACTTGTGACCGTCTCCCTAGCCAGCACCAGGCAGGTTTCATGCTGCCTGCATGCAGTGCTGAGCGATCGTAAAATGGATCTTGCGGCAGCTCCCTTGCACAGCCAGGATCCTTACCGCCAGGCCTGTTTTCACAACAATTTCTCTGCAATTAACTCTGATCATATTCACTAAGTGATTGTCATGGTTAAGTTTTTGTCTTTAATATCCTCTAGCAGAACTGGGCAACTCTGGAGTGGCTGGGGGGCACGAGCCACACTTGCCATGCGGTCTGGGCCATATCCCATGGCAGCTCTGGGACCTCTAGATCAGTCTCCCCCAGCTAGTCTGCAGAGTTTTCCCCCAACCCCCGAGGTGGTGCCCTGATCACTCTCCAGGAAACCTTCCCCAAGTGTCTGCTTGCCCCTCAAAGGCCAAGCCAAGCAATAGAAACACAGACTTTGGCTGTTGGAGACTATTTCCAGAAAAAGACTAGGAGTGTTTCTGGACCCGTTCCACACTGCTGAGAAGTCCTGGAGGAGCCCCAACTCAGCCATACAGAACCGGGGTCTGGGCTTACTGAAGGCAGATGAAGCAAAATCCCAATTCAGATGAAGGGAAGACCAGTGCTGTTGCAGGCTGATGCCAGCTTGAAGAGGACTGTGTGTGTTAGGGGCAGCATGGCCAGGGTCGCACTTTCAGGACAGGTCCATTTATGGGTACAGAAACCCTACAGGTCCAACTCTAAAAGGCTGGGCTGAGGCTCCTGGAGAAGCGTGGCCCGTGAGCTGAATTAGGCTTGGGGTTAAAGATTATTTCTATGATACAGTAGTTCAGTATGGTGAGCACCAGCACAGAGCTCCCCGATGGGAGCCAGGAGCTCGAGAAAATCAAAGACTATGTTGAACACACCCCACGCAGTGGTTCGGGGAGATGAAACCCAGCCCTGCTCCCAGGCAGGAATATCTACAAATCAGTTCCTCCAACTATTCCTGCCTGCAGAGAGAAGTACCCCAGAAAGTGCAGCCCTAAGACTGCAGGAGCAGCTGGGGTGGGAAGAGACGCCTGGCCTTCGATATGGCAGAGAAGCCAAAGACCTAATCCAAGTCCCACTGCAGTCGATGGAAAGATGGATAATATTTCACTGTGAGTTGAATTAGACCCCAGTGCAAAACCTGGCTGCTTGCACTAGGTTAAGGGTCCAGCAAAGCTGCAGAGAGCTATTTCCATCAGTGAGACCAGGATGAACTGTTTGCAACCCTTCCTGATGCTTACAGACACATGAAAGCACTTGACTACACACCTGACATGCAAATGGCAGGTGGGGAGGGCAGAAAAAACTGCCCGATGGCGTTTGCTGTGATCTCTCCGTGCATTGAAGCATGTTGTGTTTGAAGCCCTGTGCAAGGGAGTAGAAGCTGTAGGCACAGCAACATCCTCTTGCTGCCAAGTTCTCTGGAAACCTGATGCCATATCTAAGGAGGCTGCAGCGCCATGTCAAGGATGAGGGCAAGTCACTGCAGTGTAATCCTTGTGGCAGGTTCTCCATGTCACTGCAGCAGCAGATCCCAGAGAGCGGATCAAAAGGCGGCTTCTCCTGACACGACATCACTCATCTTCTTAACTACTGGAGTCAGACACCAAGACCCATGCAAGTGCAGGAGGGAGTGCAGGGTGCCCTCGTGGCATTGCCTGCCTTAAAGCAAAGCACCCCGGCATCTAAAGTGACCGGCCAGCTCCAGAGGCTGAACTGGGGAGCTTTTATGAGCTCAGAGCCCGAGTCTCTACAGCCTGAGCTCAATAGACAGATGCTGCTGGAGTTCAGGCTGGAACTGAGCCACAACTTGGGTTACACCAGGCCTTCACGTTTAATCCTTTATGGAAAGGAGAAGTCCCATCTGCCCGGGCCAGGGCAAGACGTGGACTAGAGAACGTCTGCCATCGCCCCGTGGCACAGCCTCCCCGTGGTACATTGACCGAGCTCAATCCTACATGACAAATCCTGAGCCCAGAACAGGGTCACCGTGTTCTCATGGAGGATGGAGCCTCTCCCCCCAGTTCTCATCCTGGGGAAAGGGTGAAATGAGACCACGTGTTGAGATAGGGTGGGAACAGAGCTTGATAGGCAGGTTACATTTTATCAGGGGTTTCCTCCAGAATTCTTGGCATATCCCCGTCACTCGTGCAGTACCTATGCTGCTATAAGATTGTGCTACTTAAACCCAGCCATCATTGATCCCGTGTTGCACAAAGTCCTTCAGATCATCATCTTGTTTTCTGCACCTCCTTCACTGCAGCTAAAAAAGCTCTGCTGCTGCAAATGGCTGCATTTCTGCTCTGCCTACGCCCTCTAAGCTGTACTGGGTATGGTTAAGGGCTACAAATATGGGATTTTCCTTCTGGTCTCTCTTAAGTACAGGTCCAGAGACTAGTGCAAAGGGACACCCAGCCCAGAGCATCTTCCCAGGGTACCTCTGCAGTTGGAGCATGCCTGTGGGAGCATGGTGTGCTCAGCCTGTCTTGTCCAGGACATGCTGCTGCCATAGTTTATACACGAGCAAAATGTCCTGCGCAGAAGGATCTGCTTTCCTTTTAAAATAGCCATGGTCATTCAGACACCGCATAAGGAAGAAAGAGTTAAACCCTGCCTTGTCTCCTTATTCTAGCGACTGTGTGGCTGTCTGCTACGGCTGCAGAGCCACACTGCATCTGTGCCTGTCCCAGGACCAAGACTTAAATGTTGAAATGATAAGCGATAGCTTAAAAACAGAAGACTCCTCACCGACTATACTGTATTATTAGTTAATAGGCAGAATTAACTTGCTGGCCTGGGGCCAAGCCCGTCACAGGCACAGCCAGAACAGCTGAAACTGCTTTTCACTGGGGTTTTGCTTTTACAGGATTTGCTGCTGTAGCAAGACTCCGGTTTCTGTAAAAATACACTTGTTTTTCCTCCTCCCATCTTGCCTCTGTGCCTGGACACTTGAGGCTCTCTGGAGCCCAAGGGATTCAGCCAGAAGCTGAAAAGCTTTCTTTTTGCATGCAAAGACATGAGCAAGGGTGCAGATTTCCTGACAGGCATCTCCCCACTGTGCCCCAACCGACTGCTTGGGTTTTTTTCCATGGATTTTTATGGGGGGTTTTATTGTCCTTGATTTCAACAAGAGATCTGGGCCAGATTCTTCCCCAATGACATATACCGAGTGGGGCACTGTTATTAAGCCAGTCCCAGGACACTAGAACTGGGGGGCACCTACTGAAAGTAGCAGGACTAACAAGAGAAAGTACTTTTCTAGGCAGCGTGTTGGTTGAACTCATTACCACAGGAGGCTGGAGAGGCAGATAGTACAGTCACATTCAAAAAGGGACTAAATAAATGCCTGGACAACAGATCTATTAACAGCCATTAAACAGATCAGTCAGAGGTGGATCTTCTGGCACCTCTAAACCAATGATGGCGGATGCCCGAGGGGGTAATGAAGAGGGGATAGATCACTCAGTGCTCTCCTCCCTAAAGCATCGACTCTAAGGCAGGCTGCCCCAGTATGGCACTTCTTATATTGTTATGTACGTTTTTATCCCTCACTCTTGGGTCCGGCACAGGCATCTCTCAGGCAGTGATGACTCTCATCGAGGGCCCTTTGAGAAGGTTTCACAGGTGCCACAGGCTGCTACATAATGTTAACACGGTCAAGTGCACAGATGTGATTCACAAGGTAAACTCAGAGATTTCAAATAGGAATTCAGTGTCACAACCATTTTGAGTTCTTTGCAACGGAAAAGGCATTGTCTAGGATGGGTTAGGAATGATCCTGCCTTGAGCAGGGGGGTTACTAGATGTGAGCACCTGGGGGGTCCTCCCAGTCCTGTTTTTCTAGGAGTCCAGGAGGCAGCAATTGGATGAATGCAAGGGGATTTTCCAGTTAAAAGGGGTCAGCTGTGAGTAATGGAGTCAATCAAACTGGGGCAGCACCTGTGCGAGGCTCCAGGCTCCCTACAGCCCAGCCTAGAAGCAACACAGCTTATATCAATCAAGATGCTCCTGGAGCAGACTGGGGGGAGGCATGCACGCACGCACGCATGCACCCCAAGTAACTTGCATTTCCTTCTGCTGCTGGAATCCAGCAGGAGTTACCTGGGGGGGGAAAACTAATGAGACCAATTGCTAGATACTTGGCAGCAGCTGAAAGTCTTTTGGAGCAGGTTTTCAACTCTTGGCTACTACCTGGAGGCCTGTGAGGTCCCTCACCCCCACATCACAATAGCCCATCTGGAAACAAAGGAAATTCTGATCTTGTTCTAGGCTTAAATTGGCTGCGCTCAGTCAGTGCAAAGACAGCTGCACAAAGCACCCTGGTTAACTAAGGTCAAGCTTTGTCCCAGTGCCATTCCCAATGTGCCTTGTGTAGCTTCTCCTATACCGTGTGTGCATTCATCTCTTCCAGTGTAGAAAAACAAATAGCTGAGCTACAGAAACTCAAGAACCTGGGCTGATGAGGAAGGCAACTAATGTAAACCTATGAGGTTCCTAATACAGGGATGATGAAAATGGCCCTGCACTTGAGCTGTGTTGCTGCCCTACACAAGACCATTTAGCTCTCCCTAGACCTTTCTACAAAGCACCTTCCTCTCTTGATATCAACCCCAGACTCCCCTTCCAGCCCCAGAGCTGGGGGTATCCCCAGCCTGGCTCCTCCCCTTCCTATCAGCAGACTTTCTTAACTAAGTACAGGGGTGCTAATTGCCTCATTAGCCCTTTAGTATTTTGCTGGGGGTGGGGGTTGCAGTATAAAGCCTGCCCTGCTGCCTACCGGCCCACTGAGAGAGAGCTGAAGTCCTGTAGGGGAGTAGGGGAGCTTCTGCTTCACTGGGATAAAGGGCCCCAGATCTTTCTCTTCCCAAGGTAGGGGCTAGTTTGCTAAATAACATGACCACTAGCTTGTCTTCTTCCTCCTGGCCCTGTGCAGCGCTCCCGCTTGCCAGCCCGGGGAAGAGCACTGCCCGGCCCCCTGGGGCAAGAGACACCGAGCCTCGCCTGGGGGTGAACGCGGGCAGGGCTCGCAGCTGTACCAGGGGTCCCGGCTCAGGGAAGGCGGGGGGCAAGTGTTCAGGCACATCGCCCAGTACGAAACATCCCCTAGGGAGGGGATGGACAGTGGTGGAGGTGGAGGACATCTCAACGCTGGTCCTGAGCTGGGATGGTTGACGGCGTGGTCACTCGACCTGCAGCAAGCCTCTTTGGGGTGATGCTTTTTGCCTTTCTGCACTGTCTGAATGGCCTGCGCAAAGCCTTCCTCTGAAACGAAGAAGGGGGACGGATGGCGCTGCACCTAGCGCAGTCTGTGGGGCTGCAACGTGGGGGTGACCAGTGTTGCGCTCGGGATGGGATGGGATGGGCGGCCAGCGCTGCACGGTGCTCGGGCTGGGCCAGGCGTGTAGCGTGGTGCTCGGGCCAGGCCAGGTGTCCAGCGCTGGAGGTGGAGATGGAGGCGATGCTGAGGGGAGGGCAGCGTGTGGAGCGGGTGGGCCGTGGCACCAGGGAGCTGCGTTGCCTCGCGTGTCAAGGCAGACCTGTGCCCTGAGGACGGCCCTGCCCCGGGCGGGCAGGGTTCGGTGCTCGGGCTGGGCCAGGCGTGTAGCGTGGTGCTCGGGCCAGGCCAGGTGTCCAGCGCTGGAGGTGGAGATGGAGGCGATGCTGAGGGGAGGGCAGCGTGTGGAGCGGGTGGGCCGTGGCACCAGGGAGCTGCGTTGCCTCGCGTGTCAAGGCAGACCTGTGCCCTGAGGACGGCCCTGCCCCGGGCGGGCAGGGTTGCGGTGTGTGTGGGGGGG